CTTCAATAGTGATGCATGGAATACATGGTGGATGGAGCATTAAGGGGGAAACTTGAGACGGTAGGCCACCATCCCCACTTTCCTTTCAATCTCGAAAGGCCCGTAGTATCGTGGAGAGAGCTTCTCACTTCTTCTGCTCGCTAAAGTCTTCTGTCGGTAAGGCCGCAGCTTCAAGTATACCATCTCTCCCACCTCAAAGGTCACATCCTTGCGGTGAGCATCCGCCTTGGTCTTCATGATTTGTTGGGCCCTCAATAGGTGTTCTCTCAACTCTCCTAACACCCTATCCCTCTCCTCCAAATATTGATCCACTAGATATACAGGGGTCGTCCCCTTCTAATAATTCACCAATGGTGGTGGATCCCTTCCATAAAGAATTCTGAAAGGTGTAAATTGAGATGTGGTATGGTAGCAAGTGTTGTACCAATATTCTGCCCATGGCAGCCATTTGACCCACTGCTTAGGCCTTTCCCCGACGAAGCATCTCAAATAAGTCTCCACGCTCCGGTTCACCACCTCGGACTGTCCGTCTGTCTGAGGGTGGTATGCTGTGCTGCGCTTCAAGAATGTACCTTGCATTTTGAATATCTCCTTCCAGAATGAGCTCAAGAAAACTTTGTCCCTATCCGAGACAATAGAAGTGGGGACCCCATGCAATCGAACCACCTCTCTGATGAAAGTGGATGCTACAGTAGGAGCTGAAAAAGGATGTCGTAGTGGAATGAAATGGCTATACTTGCTCAAACGGTCGACTACCACCATGATGACTGTATACCCTTCCGACTTGGGTAATCCCTCAATGAAATGCATGGTGACTTCCTCCCAAATCTTGTTTGGAAGCACCAAGGGCTGCAGCAAACCACTAGGGGCACAAGCTTGATACTTGTTCCGTTGACAAATATCACATTTGCTTACCATGTCTTCGACATCACTCTTTAACCCTTTCCAAAATAATTCTGCTTTCACCCGCCGATAGGTCTTCTCCACCCCTGAATGTCCACCAATGCGGCTATCGTGGTATTCCCATAGAAGAATGGGGATGAACGCTGAGTTACGGTGTAGTACCAACCTCCCCTTATATAACAAAAGAGAGTTCTCTAGGTGATACCCTTTGAACCCTCCCTCTCCCTTCTGAATAGCCGCCCGAATCCTCTCTAGCTCCTCTGCATGTTGATTTTCCCTCACCATTTCACCCCAATCAACTATTTGTGGTACAGATAGTGCCATCAGCTGTGAACACTCCACACGAGAAAGAGCATCTGCCGCCTTGTTTTGAACCCCTGGCTTATACTGAATCTCAAACTCATATCCCAAAAGTTTGGCTAGCCACCTCTGATGCTCTTCTGCCACCAATCTCTGCTCTAGTAAGTACTTGAGACTCCGCTGATCAGTACGAACTATGAATCGTTTCCCCAATAGATAAGGCCTCCGTTTTTGAATGGCCAACACAATGACCATCAGTTCCCGCTCATAAACTGACTTCAACCTCGCCCTAGGTGATAGGATCCTGCTGAAGAAAGCAATTGGCCTTTGATTTTGCATGAGTACTGCTCCCAAGCCCACTCCCGAAGCGTCGGTCTCAACCACAAA